CGTCGTGGGTGCTTACTGGCTTGCGAGACGGACAGTCCGGCCAGCTCCATGAGCTGGTCAAGAGACCATCCGCCGATCTCCATGAGATCTTTGTCGAGGGAGGCGGCGTCTTTGGAGGATATGGCCTGTTTTGTTATGGTAGTCATTGAGACAGTGTTGGTATGGAATCTTAACATACCTTCAGCGACATTCTGGCGGTTCGAGTGTAGTATCGAAATGCGGGGGACTTCAGGGAAAGGAACCGTTTAGGGACGGTCAATGCCGGGCGGAACATGCACCGGGTGGATAAATAAATATGAATCTGCCTCAGAAAAGATAGTATCACCTGGCGTATCGATTGAGAGTCGTAGACAGTTTGGGAGGACCTCCGGAGTATATAGTGAGTGATGTTGATTGCATCATACTGATACCCTCCACCGCCCACCGGCGCTAGTCCGCATCCGCTAGGTCCGGAACAACCAAACATCCGATCACTCCCGCGGAGTTTTGGCCAAATCCTCCAGCTTCACCTTGGTATATCTGTCGCTGTGAAATAACCCCATCTTCCTCAATTCATCTACGAACCGTCAAGATGGTCGTTCGCATTCGTCTGGCCCGCTTCGGGAACAAGCATCAGCCGATCTACAACGTTGTCGTGGCGCAAGCCCGGTGAGTAGACTTTTCCCGCCCCCAGAACGGATCGGTCGTCTTTCAATCAATCCATTCGGACGCAGGGACTGCGACCTGTATCCTGGACATTCGCTAACTACTCCAGGTCGGCCCGCAACTCCAAACCCCTCGAGGTCATCGGCACCTTCAACCCGGTCCCGCAGCGCCCAACGAACCTCTCGGACGAGGAAGCCCGACACGCGCGCGCATACAAGGAGGTGTCGCTCGACCGATCCCGAGCCAAGTACTGGCTGGGAGTGGGGGCGCAGCCAAGCGACTCGGTGTGGAAGTTGTTGAGTCTGGTATGTTATTTGCCATCGGCGCTACAGGGAGGGATGAATGCTGACGGTGTCGCTACAGGCTGGATTGGTTGAGCCGAAGAAGCAGAACAAGAACTAGACCGGCAAATTATGTGATATTTGTTTTTTGTTTACATACCCGCAATGTTCGTTGAGCAGTCTGGGGGAGATTTCTGCCTTCATCCTGCGTGAGCATGGATGGATGTGATCTCTGGCATTTACGGCGTTATTGAGGATATGATATTTGATTACTTGGTTTGTGCTTGAGTCCGGCCAGGGGCTTCTGTATATTATGTGGTCATATGTATGAATGGACTGGAGCTTATTCTGGTGGTCGTATGATTGGCGAGTGTCTTCTGATGACGTTGTTCGCGTGAGTCAGTTGCGACAGAACTGAACCAGGGTCGCGGTGGATGACATGCGGCTGAGATTTCATCTGGGTGACTACCTAGGTAGGCAGGCGCGTGTTGTTGAGGTATCATGACGTCGGATAGATGAAGTAGGGCGGTTGTATAGTAGGACAAAAGTACGTGGCCGATATATATCTGGTTACATGGAGGTACCCTGCGGTATTCGATTAGTAGGAGATGTCCGTGTAGATACTTCATGTACCAAGAGTCTAGTCGTCTGACGAGATAAAATCGATGAATCAAAATAATAGAATATAGCAATTCAACTAGCTATACCCAACGAGAAGGCATAATGCTTGTAGGATGCCGTACTAGTCTACCTGCCTACACTTAAGTACCTACTATCTCGAAGGATCAAACCCTCCGGACCAATCCGCCAACGCAGTCAGGGCCCAGACACGGGGCGACGGAGAATGATTGGCCCCCGGGAACAATTCCAGGTGCGACGATCGGCCGCAGAGTTGGGACTTTTCCATGGAAATCCGTCCTGGCCGCCCCCAGGGCCATCATCCATGCACTGGCCGGCGCAAAGGGGGGGAGGCCGTGGGGTCTGGTTGGCTTTACCAGCCCGTTGGTCGACATGGGCGGTGGTCGTCGTTAGCCCAGGCTTATCAGGCTTGTTCGTACAGATTGGTTGAGACGGAATCACATGAGAGACCACCTATCGGGAGTTCGACTATGTTCCCAGGGACTACACTAGGCAGTTAGCCCACGCGATTGCATGGGTTGCATGGGTCTCGAGTCATCTTGTCCTCTGACCTGGCTGTATGCACAACGGTTCTTATACCTCGAGTGTCGGATTGTTATCCGGTCTCGTCATTGTTCGGGGATTATTATTATTGTCAATGGACGTGTGTGGTTGTACTTGGTAGTACTTGCATGAAAGAGTATATGGATTAGTCATTCTCTCCACGCACTTCTGGCTGACAAAGCACACGCACTCCTCTGTCGCATGCGGATAATCGGATGGCCGACGATGTTTGCGTGATGCTGCACTCGGATGGAAGGCGGAAGACGACTGCGATCTAGATCATTATTATCGACATCGCCATCATTCAACTGTCGTCTGCCTGATTATTCTTTCATAAAACCATCGTCTCCCGAACAGAACCCCCTGACTCTCTGGTTTAGCGCCCAGCCGATCATCGCCTACAGGCCGATAGCGCGTCGTGTCAACGTCGCGTAAGACGCAGCTGGAACGGACCCAGACTCGATCCGTGGATTCCCTCGAGGAGCGAGAGGGTGTGTGAGAGAGAGAGAGAGGGAGTGTTCTTCAGTCATTCATTCCAGACCTTCCGGATCTGTGCTCATCTTTTCCTTTCTATCTTTTTATTATTTTCTTTTTTTACTTTTCTTTCCTTTCATTCTTTTATTTGACATTCTTCCGAATCGTGGAAGAAACTAGAGAACGATTCATTCCCTTATACTACTACTACTACCACTACCACTACTACTACAGCACTGGTACCCCTCCCAACCCAATCTAACTTTATCCTCCCCCGAACTCTCTGCATTATTATTAGTCTGGGTCTCCTTCCCTCCACCCCCCCATCATTATCCTTCCATCACTACTGCCTACCACCCATAAACCCATACCCTTCATCACTTTCGCCTCCTGATTTTCTCCATCCTCTCCTCCCCCCCCGGGCCTGGTGGACACGATCGGTCCGGCGAGAATACGTCGTCGACAACGAGTGCAGTAAGTCGGGCCGAAGAAGACCAATTGAGGGAGATTTTGACCTTGTTGTAGAAATTGGCACAGAGACTCGAATCCATGGAGACCTAGACTGCTGTTAAAGGCAAAGGGTTGAAAGGATGATGGATATCGCCATAGGAGAGAAGAGAATATCAGTCTCTGGCATGATAGTTTCTGTGAAGTTTTGCTATCCAAGTGGGAATTTGCTTCCTTTG